CTCATCTTATCCAATTATTATTGGATATCAGATATCCAATGGATAAATGGATAAACGGTTTATGGATTGAAACTCTAATCAAAAGTAAATTTTAAAGAGATTTTTACGTTATGTGTGGTCACAGCAATTTGAAATGTATAATAATTCATATATTGTATTTGTAACTTATTGTAATTTGAATTCTTATAATTTCAAAACGTGGTTAAAAAAAAAGATAAAAAATAAAATAAATAACATTGAAAATAAAAAAATAATTTAAAAAATAAAATAAGGAATAGATTGGGAAAAACAAAATCCTATACTATTTGATGTAATTTCAGGGGTGCTTTTATCTGATTTTTTTTTATGCAGTAACAAGCAATCTAGCATTATTCAAATTTAATTTATTTTGATTCGAAAACAAGTCTAAGATTCCCATCACTATTTAGCTATACCAATAATCAGTTCCTGTGTACTACTAGGTGCAGGATCAGGAAAGCGGGAATAAAAGAAAGTTTTATTTATATGCAAGAAATTTAGATTTACTTGCAAAAAAAAAAATTGTAAATTTAGAAAGTTTTGAAGATTTTAGTGTGAAAAGCGCGATAATTTTTATATTTACATTAAAATTTACATTCTCAGATTCCCAGATTCTAGCGTGTGTGATACATGAAATTTGATGATCACAGTAATTTGTAATTTGATTAGTTCTACTAATTATTCACATCTCGGAGCATCTGTGCTATTAATCAATTTTATAATGCTCCGATAGTGAAGTGGAGGGAGAATTTAATAAACTCGATAAAAATACGGTTTATTTTTTTTTATTATTTTATTCGGAATTGCACTAATCAAATATGGATTTTATCATTTTATGGAAACGCAAAATCTTGAACCGAAATCTGTCCACATGACTCTTCACCCAAATGCCAAATATCACTGTACGTATCGTTACGAAAAACCATAGATCGATGTGATTCAAAATTAGGAAGATCATTTAAATTTTTTTTAAATTTTTTTTGATCCACTCTAACAGCGTGACAATTAAATTGAAAAAAGATGGCTCTCTATTCCTTATTTTCTCGTTAATAGACAAATATAATGATTAATTAACAATGAAACACTTACAATTGATTATTCACGTCTCATTTTTACGGTGGTCGCAAAAAGATCTATTCACATCATGGATTCTATAAATCGAGGATTGCCCTATAAGAAAATTGGATCGTGATGGCACGGGGTGGTTTCGGGATGGCACGGGTTTTAGTGGCACGGATAAGAAACGGGTTTTGTACGTGGGAAGTTCGGATTGGCACGGATTTGTTGGTTCGTGTTGGAACGTACACCAGTGCCAACTGGACCGTTAATGACTCAGGCTTTGCAACACTTTGCTAATCCAAATGGCACGGGTTTTGGTACGGGTTGGTGACTTAATGGCGCGGGTGACAATGGCCCTGATTTGTACGTAGAGGTTTGAATTGGCACGGTTTTTTTGGCTCGTGGTGGACCGTATCACAGTGCCAATTGGATCGGGTTTGTAACATTTTTACTAGTCCAAATGGCACGGGTTTTGATAATAACAATTATACGTAATTCTTATACCATGGGTTTTATTATATAACAAACAATTAAAATTTTAAATATTTTATTTAAAAAAAACGTTATTATACAACAAATATATTATAAACATTATTGGCAATATACAAAAAAAAAACGCCCAGCACCCACTTAGAATTCACCCAACGCCCACCCGCTTATTTATATAAATGACAAAATAATTCTGATACAAAAACACCAAGCTGATAAAAGTTCAAGTGAAAGTTCAAATGAAAATCTAAGTGAAAATCCAAGTGAAAGTCCAAGAAAAAGTCCAAGCGACAGTCCATGAAAATCCAAGCGAAAGTTCAAGTGAAAGTCCAAATGAAAATCTGAGAAAAAGTCCAAAGAAAATTCAAGCAAAAGTTAAAACAAAAGTCAAGCAAAGGTTCAAATGAAAATCAAAGTCAAACGAAGTCAAGTGAAAGTTCAAGAAAAAGTCCAGGCGAAAGTTCCATAAGTGTTAGAAAAAGTTGGTAAAAAGACAATAATAAACACAATTAAATTACTTACCCAAAAAGTTCTAGTGACGAAAGATGACGAAGACTCCAAAGATAATGACGATGGCTCCAGCAACGTTAGTTCAAAGAACTATGACTCCGGCAATGCTAAAATTACATCTAGAAAAAAAAAAGAATGTTAGTTCAAGAAAACGAAAAAAAACAAGCAAAAAAAAAAAAAAGTAAATGAAAAAAAGAAAAAAAAAAGAAAGGATAATAATAATAATAATAATAAAAGAAAAAAAAAGCAATAATGAAGTGAAAGAAAAAGAAATGGCAAATAAAAAAAAAAGAACAAAGCGAAAAAGAGGCGAAAAAAAAAGAAACAAAAGGAAACAAAAATCGAAAAAAAGACTCCAAACAAAAATCTAAACAAAAGTCCAAGCAAAAGTTTAAGCAAAAGTCCAAGAGAAAGTCCAAGAAATTCCAAGCAAAAATCCAAGAGGTCAAAAAATCCAAGTCCAAGAGAAAGTCCAAGAAAATCCAAACGAAAGTCCAAGTGAAAGTCCAAACGAAAATCCAAGAGAAAGTTCAAAGAAAATTCAAGCAAAAGTTTAAACGAAAGTCAAACAAAAGTTCAAGAAAAAGTCTGACAAAAGTACCATAAAGTGTTAGAAAAAGTTAGAAAAAATATAATAATAAACAACAATTAATTTACTTACCCAAAAAGTTCAGCAACGAAAGACGACGGCTCCAGTGATGACAGTTCCAAGAACTATGACTCCGGTAAAGCTAAATTATATCTAGAAAGCAAAAAAAAGAATGTTAGTTCATGAAGAATCAAAATGAAAAAAAAAGTAAAAGAAAAGAGATAATAAAAAATAAAAAAAAAAGCTAAAAATGAAAACAAAAACAATAAAAACAAAGATCTAGATCTTGAAGATCTACTGTAGATCTAAAGAGTCAATTCAACAGGGGGAAACGTCAAAAGTTACACAAACCAACATGTGATCGACAGTCCGCATATTTAATGTCGATCAAA